AAGTCCTCCAAAGAAGTTCTTCATATTTATGAGTTCAGGGGGCATATTATAGAAAGATCTTAACTTTAGATTCATGTCTTATCTTTTAGGTAATCATAGTAATTCCAGTTAGGACAAACACTACAGAACTGGGCATTATCTTATCTTAATGACGGATAGGAAAAGAATACTATAAAAGAATCTCAACAAATCTTCCTAAAACACACTTGACATTATGACTGAACCTCTGTTGTTCTAATTTCAAACTGCTAAAACTTAATTGCTAAGCTTAAATTTAATTGCTTCAATTTAATTGCTTAAATTGTTAAGCTTTTTAAAGAATGAAATTACACATATTTATTAAACAAGATAAAGAGAAGTTATGTTTGATGGTGGAGAGACTTTTGGAGGAGCCACTCTGATAAAAAAAAAAAAACATTGTTCATAATTGATGACCCCTGTGATCTGATTTTGCAGTTAGCAGACCAATTTTAACCAGTATTGAAGAGGACAATGAGCCGTCATGGTTATTCTGCAAGTGACTAATGCCTTACTTTTTTGTGCAAAAAGTTGCTTCTTTAGCACAAACGTCGACACCTGCTGTATCCAAAAGTAGTTGCATTTTGTTTCAAGGGAAGAAGAATTGTCAAGGATCAAACAAATAAATCTTGACGAATAAAATAAGCTTTATCTTTTCTCTAAAAATGATAATTAATTCGATATCTGCTGAACTCACATTTAACACAAAATTGTTTCTCCATTTTAAGCATTTAGTAAAACAGCTGTTTGCCCATAGTTGGTTTCTCTGTAACTGACCTTGATTGTCAAACTTAATGTTGTGGTTTAAGATTTTCTGACTAGATAAGATTATTTATTATTTTATTTAGAATATTAATTAAAGTCAAGGTTTGCTTCTGTAATATGGACCTAAATCCACTTCCTAAAGTCCTAAATAACTTAAGTGTATCAAATTCTTTTTGAAAGAATTCACCTCTACCAAGGCTTTATTTATTTGATCAAAAATATAACAAAACCATGGAAGGCTGTGAAATATTACTACAGTTTAAAATAACTACAGTTTTGTACTTTCCGTTTAACTCATTCATGTTTTATTACATTTTGTTCTCTGTCTCTAGCTGATAAGCGACACGACAAACGGTGTACGGATAATGTCACTCTCATCCACGAGGGGGCAGAGCCCTGCCCAGACTCTGATGCTAATTGGCTTGTCCTTATTCTACTGTCAGTCTACTTGCTGGTCACCAATATTCTGTTGGTGAACTTGCTCATTGCTATGTTCAGGTAAAAAAATAATAATGCACCTTAAAAAAAATACTCTGATTTAGCATCAGATGTCTTTTTGTTTTTAAAACAATGATTTTACATGGACTTAATAAATTACCTGTTTCTATGAGCTAGCAGCTTATAGTGCCACTTGTTGCATGGCACATCTCTGAATAATCCTGCAAAATGTTAAATTACTAGATTTTTTAGCAAAGTTAGTTCTCAATTCTGAGAGCATTGCAGGTGCAATATGTATTGCTTACAATAAAATGAATAGTTTTGACTATAAAAAGCAGATTTACTAAATGTTTCACGTTACAGTAAAGGTCTATAATATTACAAGAAATATTAATAATGCTGGAATAAAATATAAATAAATACTGAAATATCTATGCTTGTTTCACTTACCCCAGCCTATGTAAATAATAATCTACTTTAGTATCAGACAGAATTGTGCACTGGTTTATCCATAGCAATAAAAAACTTGTGGCTATTTTCATAGTTGTGTAATGACAACACTCACAGTCAAATAAGTTTCATTGCTGCAACCATGTGAATTTCAATATAGCAAAACCTCCTTTACTAAATCTCTTTTGGTGCTGTATTCCTGTTGTTTGTCTTCAGTTACACATTCAATAAAGTCCAGGAGCGCAGTGATGTCTACTGGAAGTTCCAGCGCTACAACCTGATTGTGGAGTACCACTCGCGCCCCTGCCTCGCCCCGCCCTTCATCATCATCTCCCACCTGCATATCTTCATCAAGAGGGTCATTCAGAGATTGCCTTCCCTTAAGAGCCAACACTTCAGTAAGTTCTCGGTTGAGATTTTAGATACATAGCACATGATCCTTAATTATACTCCTATATAAGAGATTCATTTGCCAAAAATGTTTTAAAATAGATAGTTAAATGGAACCATGAAAATGCCATCATAATTTACTCATCCTCAAAACCTTTCAACCTTTGACTTGTGTACATAAGGCCAGGAAAGTGAGGTCTACTTGATCTTTGTTACACTCACTTCCGCTAAATCTCACTCCCATCTGGGTCACTGCACCATTGTAACATCTACTCAAGCATGATTCAAACCAGTGTTTGCTCTAAAGGAAGAGATCATTCTAGCAAGTCTGCTAAAGACTACAGACTATAACAGGGGTTCCCAACAGGGGGGTCCCATCCCACAAGGGGGCCTCAGCAGGCTCTGTATGGGGTCGCGTCATATTTGAAAGAAGTGGACAATTTGGAGAATGATCATGTTGCCTTAGTACATTTTATTCCCTGGCAGACCAAAAAATAGACAAATTTGTAATTCATTCTCCACAAAAAAGACTTGCCTTCAGCAGCTAATACTTATGACCCAAACATATTTTACCAAGGTGAGGAAGCTCCAAACATTTCGGATTGCAGCGATAGCAATACAGGAAATGCGAAATGCAGGAAATACCAAGACAGTTATCTGAACTATGGTTTTATTCAATTTTTTCTAAGCATATAGTCCCTGACCCAGCCAGTGTATTATTTATGCCAAAGTTCCAGCTAACGAATGCATAAGGCCATCCAAATTAATGATGACTCATCCCCAAAACCGTGACAAGCCCAGAGCATTTTTTGAGCGCAAGGCATAAAAATTGACACACACCCAAAATAAGGTGAGGAATGTCACAACCACTGACAAGAAGTTTAAAAAAATTGGCAACTAATTAGCAACTAATATAGGGCCAATTTAAAGGCCAAAGGCTTACACTTTTCAGTTACAAATGATCTACTGATGTTTTGCTTTTATATTTTACATTAGATTATTATTTGTGCATAATCATATCTAGATATAGTAATACACATACTGTTTGTTTGAAAACAACATTTTTTGTGATCCTTACTGCAAACTTATATGTGCGATAATATCATTAAATGTTACAATATTTTCCGGGGAAAAGGGGGTCTCAGGCAAAGTAAGTCTCAGTAACTAGTGAGCCACTTGAGGCCAGGGAGAGAGATTTACTTCTACTTTCACTGGCATCTGTTACACTACCCTACTACTCACTCCCATCCAGGTCATTGCACGAATGAACCCTCTCCGGTTTTAATTGCACTGCTTCAAGTAGATTTGAACCAGCGCCACTGGCATGGAAAGTGGACATGATAACAAGGATGCTAAAAACCTCCGCCTCAAGTGTAAGGATCTCCAACCCTGTTCTTGCAGGTTTCAGGACCCCTGAGTATTTCTTTAAAGGACTTGTGAAGAGCTTTGACGTGTGCATTTTTAATTGAATGCTTGACAAAATCTCAACCAAAACATGAAGAGAGGGTGGGACATACTGTAGCTCCTCCCCTTTTAAAAACCCCACCAATACTGTTTTGTTTTATCACCGTTATGCCAGAAAGAGTGGTTGAGCTCAAGCACATCAAATGAGAATTGTCTTCAAGGGGGCTGGACATGTCAGATACTAGAAAGCATTTGATTGGCCACAATTTTATGAGAAGCTGAAGTATGAGGTCATTTTGATCCATTGGATTCATTGATCCATTTAAGTGGAAGTGACAAACTAAAGCTTTACATGTTTATATAAGTTTCATAACTTCTAAACGTGAATTTTGTCACTGTTTTGGTGGACACTTATAGGTATCTTAAAAACAAACAATACTAATACTAATATCTAAAAAAAACATTATTTTAATTTTATGGGACCGTTAACCCTGAGATGCATATCTTTCTTTAGTGTTGGACCTGACAAGCAAAGAGACGAGCTTGTTGAACACATGGGAATTGTCACTGAAAGAGAACCTGCTGTCCACGGAGAGCAAGAAGAAAAGAGAGAGCGACACGGAGCGACTCAAACGCACCTCCACAAAGTCAGTGTCTCCTATTAATGTTCAATGTAATCTCATAACTAACAACTGCCAAACTATCTGACATCAAAAGTACGTTTTAGAAAAGATGAGTGAGTGGGGAACATGTCAAATAGATCTGTATGTAATACACACCCAGGGGGCATTTAGTAACCTCACAGTAGCAGCTCTTGTTTCTGTGAGTGTCAAGAAGGGGGACTTGGAGACTGTCAGCTCTTGCTGAATCAGGCACCAGCGTCTTAAATGACACCATGTGTGTATTTGTGTCCAAATGTGTGCGTAGGGTGGACAGCGTCTTGAAGCAGATGGTGGAGATTCGTGATCACGATCGCAGGTTGAGAAAGCTGGAGTCTGAGGTAAGTGGTGGTTAAACACACCTGTCTACCTGCGACTAGCGAACACTCCAACACATGTTTCTGAATCCCATCAGTGTCTCTCATACAGCACACATATGCATCTGTGGGTGCAAGACTTCGGGCCTTGCCTTATTTTAGCTGCAGCTGTTGCATTTGCTTGCTCAGCGCAGACCGAGGACCATCCGTCATTCTCTCTATCCCCCCTCATCTAAACCCTCCTGTAGAATGCAGATCCGCACTGAGTATCTGCCAAGCTGTCAGCTGATCAATGTTATTAATGAACCTGTGCTTTAAATGGGACCTCAGGTGTTTGACTGATTTTTCTGTTGGCCTGTATCTCAGGTGGAGTACTGCTCTACTGCCCTCTCCTGGATAGTGGAGGCACTGTCCCAGAGTGATCTTGTGAAGCAGACTCGTCCACCTCCTTATCCTTCCAAAGGTGTAGTTTCAACTCTCCAATGACTGTCCCCCTCTTTGCCGTGTCAAATTCTAGCTCATGTTTCTCGGGTTCCCTCTTAGTAACAGTGTTTACGGTGTTGGTTTGGCTGTAACATTTTTATGATCCTCAGTGACATATAAATATACAGTTACAGAACTTCATTATTAATGGAGACACAATGTCAATGATTCACAAAATACTTTAAGGATACTAAGATATATGTAATATTCCAAAGAACAGCAAGCATGTATTTAAAAAAACAAATATATATTTTAGAACATTTACTGTTTCTTGTTCAATTCACCAGTGCATTCTCACTGACATGATTTTTATATTTATTTTGACTGTTTCAGGTATTGCTTCAAAACGTCCCACATTTTCCAGATGAACATTTTGCCAATAATACATGTACAAAAACATGGATTTTATGAGCTTCAGCTTTTCGACGTGTTCAAACTGTTGTATCGGATTTTTTTATATTGATTCAACACTTACATTGTCAGTTAAGATTTTGAACTGATTGAAAGTTATAAATAAATTATAATTATAAAATATGTTTTTTTATAATTGTATATATATTTTTGGTTGCCAATGAATGACTGATATATAAAATGTATTGTATTTCTTTGGTAAATACTGTTACATACTGTAGCATTCAAAAAGGGGTAAATTAGAGGATCGTGATTTGTCATTGTACTATAGTCAACTTGAAACTTTTGTCACATAATAATAATATGCCAAAACTTTATTAAAGGGATTAGTTTACCACAAAATAGAACATCTATCATCATTTGCTCACCCTTTATGTTATTCCAAATGCATAAAACTATTGTTTTTTAATTGAATTGAATTAATTTCTTTTTATTTATACTGCGCTTTTTCAAAGTAGACTGTTGAAAGACTTTCCCTGTTGAAAGTCCAGACACAAAGTAGAGTTTATCTTTGCAACATTGTATCTTGATTATTTCTTTGGGTTTTCCATTGGACAGATTCTGTTGTTATCATTACACATTTCCAGTTTTCTACCAATATTTCATTCGTTCATTTATTTTTCTTCGGCTAAGTTATTATTTTAGAGATCGCCACACCGGCCAACAGCGCCAACTATTCCAGCATCTGTTTTACTCAGCGGATGCCCTTCCAGCCACAACCCAGTACTGAGAAACACCCATACACACTCATACTAAAACACTACGGCCAATTTAGCCTATTCAGTTCACCTATAGCATCTCTGGATTGTGGTGGAAACCGGAGCACCCAAAGGAAACTCATGGGAACACAGGGAGACAATGCAAACTCCACACAGAAACTGGCCATGACTCGAACCAGTGACCTTCTTGCTGTGAGGCGACAGTGCTACCCACTGAGCCACCATGCTGCCCTCTACCAGTATTTATGTCTTGCAAATGCCACAAAAAATCTTGTAATCTCATGTTAAGAAAAACAAGATTAGAAAACGCCAGCTAATTAAGAAGAGATCTTCATCCATTTGACAGCACACGTGCTGCAAATCCTCACAATGCAAACACATTTGAAAAAAAAAAGTGCTGCATTTTCCCACAGTGCAAACAATTCACAAAAACATGCTTCATTTTCTCTCAACACAAAAAGAACGGAACACAACAGAAATGTTTCAAGGGGACCCAAAAATGTGACAGGCACTGCTGTACCATGACTATTAAACAATGAAGTTGTTGGTGATCTTTGAAATATGAGTTTTTATTTATTTATTTTAACATCCAGATTTGTGCGTCTTTAGTATTTATTACGCTGGTTCGAACCTCGGCTCAGTTGCCGTTTATGTGTGAAGTATGCATGTTCTCCCTGCCTTCGCGAGGGTTTCCTCCGGGTGCTCCGGTTTCCCCCACAATCCAAAAACATGCGGTACAGGTGAATTGGGTAGGCTAAATTGTCCGTAGTGTATGAGTGTGTGTGTGAATGTGTGTGTGGATGTTTCCCAGAGATGGGTTGCGGCTGGAAGGGCATCAGCTGCGTATAAACTTGCTGGATAAGTTGGCGGTTCATTCCGCTGTGGCGACCCCGGATTAATAAAGGGACTAAGCCGACAAGAAAATGAATGAATGAATGAATAGTATTTATTAGCCTAAATAACCATAACCTAAATAGCTTTGTTCGTCAAGTTTTAGGGTCTTCTTAAAACATTTCCGTTGTGTTATGAGAAAATGCAGCACGTTTTATTAATTGTTTACGTTGTGTGAAAATGCAGCATGTTTTTTAAAAATAGGTTTGTGTTGTGAGGATTTGCAGCACATCTGCTATTAAACTGATGTTTTTCTTTTCTTAGTTCTTTTTTAATTTGCGGGCATTTAGTTAAGCTCTCTCGGCCACCGTACAAGATGGTCCAAACAAGAAAGGAACTAGAGTGAATAGCTATTTCAAAATTTCTTGTTGATAAAAATTATTTCACTTTAGCCAAATGACAAACATTTAAAAACATGATTTGACTTCATCATTAATCTATTTAGGCCAGAGTTTAACCCATAAGCCAAGGTCTTTTGCAATCGGAGTAACACACTGGGTCAAATGACCAAGGTCATATTTACTATATCATTTTTATATATCACTATATCAAAGTTAAAAATTGTAACTCTTTTATAAAATTGTACTTCTTTTTGTAACTTTTTTATTTAAAAGTTTTTCAAAATGGCTTAAATGTACTAATTCATCAATAATAAGCTTTTGCAATGTCCTTTTTGGTTTCTATTCTCAGTCTTCAGCAGTGGCCATCTGTAATGACCCTGTCCCCTTTTGAATAGCATTTGATTCCTAGGTTGGCATAGTCTTAGTCTCCTTCAAGCCATACATGGCAAGAGCTGCGGCCGATGAGGATCAGGTTGTCATCTTCTGTAACTGTGGAGCGAAAGTGGGGGGGAACTCGACTCTTCTAAACATCTCTGCTTAAATCTGACTGGAGCTAAATCAGCACTTCATCTCAGTTTAGCCACTCGGTCTGTGTGAACATGGAAGCGCTGCTGTTTTCAGAACAGAATTTGTCTGCGAGCAGCTTTAATTGCATATACATGCATGTGGTATTTTATCAATTTGGTTTTCGACCAATTTAATCGGCTATGTTGCCTGAGAGGGGCGGTCGCTATTATAGCTTTTAGTAGATTCAACCTTTAAAGCTTGAAAAGGTTAAATGTCAACCTGATTACACAGACATCAATCATTGGACATAACATTTCATAGTAGCGCTAAATGTTCTCATAAAGAAGTCATATATATGTTTGTGAGTGTGTGTTATATAAAGAACCACAAAATTAACAGTTGCATACATCTGGAAAAACTTCAGATAAGCAGGACGAGGGTTTTAAAATGTGTAAACAGGACATGAAAGTGATCCAGGTTGAGTTGCAACTGAGAGCTAAATGGTTTTATGAGTGAGAAGAACTTCATTTTAACAACTCAACTTCTGGTCTGAATTCTGCATCATGAGAAAAGTGGGTCGTATAAAGGTGCCAGGGCATACACACACAGCTGTTCTGCTCAAAGTAAAAAGCAGGATCAAGAAAAAGAGAAGGAGTGAAGATGATCTCTCAAAGGTATGTTTGCATACATATCCACTTTCAACCACATTGCAATTTAACATCTTGCTAAACCCCCCCTCGACACCAGTTCCTCTGTGCCCCCACCCTTCCTCTTCATTTTTTGTGCATAGTTAATAGATCAGTTTCCAGCAGTTGGATTCTCAAAGGAACACTTTATTATTTTCTTTATAGTTCTACAGTTCTCACTTATGTTTTAAGTGTCAACTTTGTCTTCTCCGAAAATTCTATAAGAAATAAAAATAGACAATTATCACATGCATCAGAAATATAGCACCAGGAACCTAATTGGTATACAAAAAATCTGTCTATTAGGAAGAATTAAATGGGAAGTCTGAATTTATGTTTGCATTTTGATGGTGGACTGATTCACATATGCAATTGTGGCATATGTGACATTTGAGATTTTACTGAATGTCTGTGAAAATGTTATCTATTACACCTGAATATTCATTCATTTTGGCTTAGTCCCCTTATTAATCTGGGTTCGCCACAGCGGAATGAACCGACAACTTATCCAGCATATGCAGCGGATGCCACACTCATTCAAACTCATACACTACGGACAATTTAGCTTACCCAATTCATCTGTACCACGTCTTTGGACTTGTGGGGAAACTGGAGTACCTGGAGGAAACCCAAGCGAACGCAGTTAGAACATGCAAACTCCACTTAGAAAGGCCAACTGACCCAGCCAAGGCTTAAACCAGCGACCTTCTTGCTGTGGGGCGACAGCACTACCTACTGCACCACTGCGTCGCTTCACCTGAATATTAACATCTGAAATTCAAAAGACTATTAGATCCCTTTGATTAAATCTCATTTATTAGAAACAATCAAGGGATGTTTAACAAGCTTCAAAATCATAGGTATACTGACATTTTTTCACAACTCAGGCTCAGACTGATGTGCATGTCTTATATACATTTCTGGAGAGAGCAAAATACATCCTAGGAGCTATGTTTTTTTTGCAGTTTATGTTTTCGTGAATCCACTAGAGGCCGTTGTGTACACATTTTCAGATCTCAAATTTCTCTCAAGAGTGCCATTCATGCCTGCTCTTCTCGCGTAAGTCCACCAGAGACCGCTGTCGACTGACTGACTGATCGACCATCCAACAGACCGATCCCCTTCTCTAAACCCAACCAATAGTGTTTTCAAAAGCAATCCAGTAAAAGAAAAGCCCTTACAGCAGCCTGATTTTTACCACGTTTTCAGATTTTACCACATCCTTACCCTGTTATTTACTTGTTTATTTTACTTTTTGGCTTTTGGTTTTAATTGTTGTCACTGGACTCGATCTGTGTTGTCTCAATCAACTCAGCTATGCGTCATAAATCTGTCGATATACATGTTGAGCTACCGGACAAATTTGTAACAGCAAGATAATGAAGAAGAAAATGAATGAATGAATATAAAAATAATATGAATACATTTAAAGAGACAAATAACTTTATTGTTTAAAGAGCTCCCAAGTCACAGGCGATGATAGGTTAGGATCGAGGGAGGGAATTTGGCCAGGACACTGGGATTACACCTCTACTCTTTACAAGAGTTGCCATGGTATTTTTAACGACTACAGAGAGTCCAGTCCTTGGTTTAACGTCTCATCTGAAAGACGATGCTCACTAACAGTATAGAGTCCCTATAACTGGGGTGTTAGGACCCACACAGACCGTAGGTTGAGCACCCCTTGCTGGCCCCGTTAACACCACTTCCAACAGCAACCTAGTGTTTCCATGTGGTCTTCCATTCAAATATGGTGGATGCTGCACACTGGTGGTGGATGAGGAGATCCCCCCCACTATGTAAAGCGCTTTGAGTGCCCAGAAAAGCGCTATATAAATGTAAGGAATTATTATTATTATTATAAATACCAACTAGACTCAGCCCTGCTTAACTTCAGTGAACAACCAACATGAACAACCAATCTTGTGCTGCAGTGTGATATGGCTGTGGCAAACTGGGACCACTCTGGCTTTCATT